GCAGCCGAGGGAGAAGTCCTCTTTTGTCGGGCAGTGTTTGATCATTATGGGTTAAGAGGTTAAGTGTAAGACCATTGAGGGTAATACCTGATGGACTAATCTTGCATCTGCCCATAGTCCCTAGGTTTTTATAAGGTGGCTTGGCCCAAGGACCACTAAGTGTAAGAATTGGGCCCATTAAGAGCCCACGGTGATGGGCTCAATGGTTCACTAATCTTGTAACAAAGGTTGGGCTGAACCCATGTGGCTGATGTGTAAATCAATATTTGAGTCCCACACCATACAAATAAGCTCAACTGGGCAGCAGTTTGGAAGGTTACTGAGCATATGGACTTATTGGGCCTAAAGCCCATTTCGAACTGGTCTAATTTGATTAGTTAAAGAAGGGGTGGATCTGGGAGTTGGATCAACAGATAGGATAGGGAGTTATCCCTATCCACTCAGAGAGACTAGATCCAATTAGAGATTTGGATATGAAAACCTCCTAATGAGATTAGGAGAGTTGATCTAATCTACAGATAAGATAAGGATCTATCCTTATCACTTAAAGAGAGTGCAGATTCAAATAAGGATTTGAATTAAGAAACTTCTAATGGGATTAGGAGTTGATCTCTTTAAGTCTATAAAAGGAGGAGAGGGCGAATCATTCAGAAGATATCTCAAAACCCCAGACATTAGATTTTAGATCACACAGAGAGAAGACAACAACAGTGTGACTGTGCCATCTTCTCCCCGCGTTCTCCTCCAGTTGCCGCCAATTGCCAGTTCGATCTCCATTCTTGTAGGAGCGATCAAGAATAGTTATTGATATCAGTCTTTGGAGAAAGGCTGATCTGAAGTCGTGCTCACAACCTCCATCGAATTCTTGTTGAAGGGTTCGGTTCTTTGGAAGAACATTGTTGATTCTGCTCCACCCTACACTGTGTCATCTTCAGTGGGAGCAGTCTTTGGATATTTTTTTGGGCGTGAACACCTTCATTGAGAGTTACTGCTACTCTATATCGGGTATATCCCTCTCCTACCTTTTGGTTTCAGATCTGTTTCGGTTCTTGGTTCAAGATTGATCCTTGAAAATGCAGATTTTCTAAAGCAGGGAATGAGATTCCCACATGGGAGAGAGAGAATTTTTTGAAATTTCGCCCTACCTACCTACAGGGTTCGGCTATCCATATGATGGATCTCTCATCCCTTTTATAAAAGCATTTCTACAAAGCACTTTTATAAAGTACTTTTACGAAAGCACTTTTACAAAATACGTTCATAAAAATGCTTTTGTATTGGATTATATTGAATCCGATCCGATCCATTTATATTAGATTTGGGATGGATTGGATCCAGTCCATTTGTAAGTGGACTCACATTGGACTGGATTAGGTTGGACCAAATCAAGTTCAATTGACACCTCTACATACAACCTAGGCTAGATTGTTGTGTTTGTTCAGTCATAATCATTCCAATAGTCGTCTTTGCATTTTGCTTCCTGGGGACTCCCATGAAGGCTTCAGTTTCGCCGTTGCTGAGAAGCACTGATCGCCGTCTCATGCAGCACACTGGACTATTATAGCCATCTTCCCCTTTGTATCCCTTCCATTTATGTTGCAGGTTTAGAATCTGGTAAATAATATTCGAGTACTTAATACTCACCTTGAATAGAGAACAAAATTAAAAGGGTACATATATCTTAAAACAAAGAACAAGAACAAAATTTAGGCTCAGTTTCAGTTTGGAAAGTGTACTACAAATACAAATTTGTACAGTACTGTATATACCTAGGGCTTCAAAGTTAGTAGGGGTCTCCCAGCCCCGTGCATGAGAAGAAGGCCTCCCTTGGGACATGTCTTCCTTGAGTAGTTATCGACTCGGAAAGCCAACTTGCCCTCGTCATTAAACACCGTAAACCCATCTGTGCCCGGAAAAGTCAGCGACTGTTGGTAAACACAAATGGAGCAAAAGCATTGACAAGTTCTTCTTCTGTGGGACTAGTACTACTGCTACATCTATTCTGATGATCAGCTACTGTTGGATGTACCCTTGACATATCTTCTCTTCAGTTTTCAGCTACACTTTATCAAACTAATAAGTAATATTTTCTTTTCCCATTTAAAAAATTCCTCTTTAATTTTCTCTCTGATTTATTTATTTATTATTATATTGTTTATTCTTTATGTGATTTTGATTTTTTTTAATGGGAATTTTGATTTTTTTAATTTTTTCTGTTTTTTTTTTTATTTTTCTTTCTTTTTTACCTGTTATCTCTTTTTTATTTCACTTTTTTGACTTAAATAAATTTTTTGATTTGTTTTTTTTTTATTTTCTTTATGTACATTTGTGCTTAACTAAACCTCACTACTCTTTTTTTTTTATTTTTTTACCTATTTTCTTTTTATTATTATATGTATTTTTTATTTTTTTAATATTTGGTTTTTTACTTTTTTTTTTTATTTTTGGGACTCTTGATTTTTTTTTAAAGCGAAGGTGGCTGACACCCTAACTGATTAGGCTGACACGTGGATAGTGATGCATGAGAGGAGAGTTTGACACCTAGGCTCAGTGGTTCCAACAAGGTTGCCAGACTTCAAACATCTACCCATTAGACAAATGGACTTCTCGGGTTGGTGACTGGTTAAAGGATTTCAACGCAGTGTACAGGTACATTGGTCTCGAGGCATAGGCGTATAGCCCTCTCCTCTAGGACAATAGGACCTTAAATCTAATATAGGATGATGTGCAAAGTGTGCATAAGCATATAAGGAATAACAGAAATGAAACAATAAATAACTATCTAATAATCAACAAGAAATAATCAATTATTATTCTAAAAAAAGAAAAGCAACATAGAAGCATGCATATATACAAGAAAAGGCTATCAAGCCAAATGAGCCCTGTGTGGGCCCCACCTATAGTCCAAGAACTCCCCAGTAGAGTCTCCAATCTGTGAGCGTTGGAAAACCGGTTCACTTGCCACTTGGGCTGTAAATGGAGTTGCCACCCATCAGTTTAAGAAATGGAGTTGATGGGATCTCCGAAAAAGATTTTTAAAATGATTTATTTTAATAGTGACTCCAAAACCTACGACACCGGTCCAACCTGTTCAAGTAAAACTCAGATGGGATAGGAAAGGGATTAGGCACCCCTCTTCTGAATCCAACAGGTAGGGTTACAGACAAGCAAAACACAAAACACTTAATTGAAAGACATTAATCATAAAGAAATTAAACTGTGAAAAAGGTGAGCCGAAGGGAGAATCTTCTCTACTCCTGTTTATTCATTTAATTTTTTTTTCAATCTTATTTTTAGTTATTTTCTCATGACACACTATTCGTGAATTTATTCATTAATTACTCATTAACATCTTCCCGACCTCTTCTCATTTCCTAACTCCTAATCTAACCAATCGGACTTAACAACCATTATTTAAAACTGCACTACTCACAATCCTAGGAAATCGAACCGAAGCACTCTTCCTAACTCTGACCATCCTACTCGGCTAAGCGAAAACAATAAGGAAGCACCATAATGAAACAAGCTGATAGCTAGCAAGAAAAATAACAAACTTCACATATAGAAACATGACTTAATAAGCTTCAGGTTTAACATATCCAATGATTAAAAAAAGAGCAAATTCTTGTCTAATTTTAAAGCAGTAAATGCAATAGAAGTGGATGAACAAGCTATTCAACAATCAACTCGAACCTCTAAACATGGAACATTGATTTAAATGAGAATAAACGATAATAATGTAAATAAACACGCGCAACAACTCTTCTCAATGTTCTCACCACCACATTCATCATCAATATGGGATTTTACAGAGGGTGGCTCTACTAGATTTCATTGTCGCCCGTCAGTACCCGATTTTTACTTGGTTCCTCGCTTAAACCTCCAATTTACCCCAAACACCCGATCAGACCCATCTAACCTCTCCGAAACACCTAAAAACCCAAAGAACATAACTTTCAGCCCCAAAACCTTAAGATCCACCATTAAACCTGCCTGATGCCCATCCGATGGCCCCGATCGACCTCACTTACACCTCAACCATTAGATCAAACACAACCACCAGACCTAGGACACACCAAAACACCTGCCTATAAAATATCAATCCAAAATTCCCCTATTTACCCCTTCATTGAGCAAAGATTCCATTCTGATACCTCTCGATAACCTAAACACCCGCAACTTAGATCCCCTTGATATTGTCGCATCCAAACCAACTAGACCACACCATTAAACTTCGAATACATCAAAATACCTGCTCATAAAGTTTCAATCACAGATTCCCCCATTCGCCCTTTCATCAAACCAAAACTCCATTCTGGATCATCCCATTGACCCAAATTCCTACAACCTTGACCCCCAAGACTAATCAGACCTCACCATCATATCATGGACACCTCCAAATACCCACCTGTAAAATTCCATTCCAAAACACCTTTGCTTACCCTTCCATCGCACCAAGATTCTATTTCGAGGTCTCAGATTGACTGAATTCTAAGTCTGCCCAATTCGGGCCCAGTTGGCTCAATGTAACCTCTACTACCCAAAAACCCTACTTTATGAATTTTCATCCAAAACATACATTGTTTGTCCATCGATCACATAGATTTCATTTTAAGGCTCCAGATTAACCGAATCAAACTCTTTCCATATCTGCCTAATCCAGGCTCAGTTGGGACAATCTAACTGCACCAATCAACCCAGAATGTCCGAAAACCCCACCTTACCAAATTTTAGCCAAACATATCCTCATTTACCCTTTCATCTAAAAAGATTCTATCTCGGCAAATCTCGCTGGTCCGCACTTGGAAACCCCCTCTGTGGTCATCTTAACCCTCCATTTTTTACCCAAAATCTCACCCCTCTTCCAGAACCCCGGTTTGACCACCATTTGATCCGATTTGACTAAACTTTTTCGAAATTATAAAAATGTCCCCTCGAATTCCCCAAAAGTACGAAATTATCCCTGCCTCACATATAAATTCGCCCTAATCGGGAGAATCGGAAGTAACGCACTATTCACCCTCTTCCTAGCTCGAAGGCAGAACCAGAGCAGTAGCGGCCGATCTTCCTCTTTCTTTACTCTTATCTCCGTTGCAGCGGTACGCTGTATCGCAATCCCTCTTTCAGAACTCTTTTCCCCCGCTTTCTTCCTTCTACATCTCTCTTTCTCATTCCCCTTCTTCTCAGTTTTTTCTTCTTCGGTCACTGATTCATCTCTTCAATCTTGACGAGAACAGAAAGACGAAAGTGCCTCTTTTCTTCTTTGCAGAGGATCATCACCGATTAGGAGCAAACCGCAGCCATCACCGGAGGAAAAAGGTTCAGGCGTGAGATTTTTCGGATCTTCTCTGGTTACGGCATACAATCACAGGTCGAACTCATCCAAGAAATTTTCACCGGGGAAAATATCCCCCCTCTCATCAGTTTCCCGGGTCCTTCCTCAAGCAACGACTCTTTCCAAAACAAACCAGTCGAAAGAAGAAGCTATCCCCTGTTAATCTATCGTCTCAGGCCGACATATAGTTCAGGTAAATCTCGTCATTCCCCTTCGATAGTAGTTTGAGTGAGGTTGCGGAGCTGGTAATCGGCTCCGTTGAAACTGTGGTATATTACAGTGGATCGATCAGGCTATCTGCGTGGGGCAGGGAGTACTCTCCTCGTCCCTGCACCGTCCCTGATAACAGGGATGAAACTTTCCTATCTCCATCAAAATGATCCTATCTTCGCCACATTTAATGCAAATCCCGAAAGAAATCGAGGAAATGAAGAAAATTATCATCACTAAGTTTGATAAATAATTTTATCTAAAATTAATTATTAAAAAATTATTATAAATAATATATAAAATATAAATAATTTATAATTATTATATAAAATAATTATATTATCGTTAAAAAATCCCGTGTACAAGCCCCTTTCAACGCTTTTATATATATATATATATATATATATATTTCATCTTTCTTTTGAAATGTTCCCTGACCAATAACAAACCCTCGACCCTCGATAGTAGGATTCGATCCCAAGCCTCTGCTACAACACATATTGCCAAATGGCTTTTCGACCGGTGACCAAAGTATGAAAAAGACTAAAAAGATTTTCGGTTACTGATTGCCATTTAAGGGTGTGGAATACGAATGGGTTCTTTCTCAATTTCTGTTTCTTCGCGTGCATCATCTGTTGGACTCACACCCGTGCATCGTTCTTCCTACATTCCGGTCGTCCAGTCGCTGGTTCTCGCCAAAAGGCCCAAAACCCCTATTTGCTGGCTAAGAACGAAAGCAGTTTCCTCATCAGCCAGAGATCCGATCAGATTCAGGTCTGCCATGGCAGGAACGGCGGCCTCCGAGAAAGGGAAAGGGGACTTACAGGTGTTTGAAAGTGAGGAAGATTTGTCAGTTTCGCTAGCTAAATATACCGCTGATTTATCAGAAAAGTTCATCCAAGAAAGAGGGGCTTTTACTGTGGTTTTATCCGGAGGTTCCTTGATTCATTCTCTCAGGTGAATGCGCATATACGTCTTCCGTCTGTTTGGTGTCTCTTGCTTGGTAAAGCCTGATTATTGTACTTTTTCTTTTCCTTTTTCTAATGCTGTAATTACATGAAATTGAAACATTAGGAAATTGCTGGAATCCCCTTATCTTGAGTCTGTCGATTGGACGAAGTGGCATGTTTCTTGGGTGGATGAGAGGGTCGTGCCGAAGAATCATGAAGACAGTAACTATAAGCTCGCCTATGACGGTTTTATCTCAAAGGTAAATAAAAAAAGGAAAAAGAGAATGCAAGAGTTTCTGCTTTGCACTGCATTAATCTTCAAGTTGTAGTCATTTATTGTATATTTTGTGCAAGAGTTAAGTTCTTCATTCATTTATGCAATTTTGTGCACCTAGTTGTAATTATTAGAAATTACATTTTTTGTACTTCTATATCGTAGGTCCCCATTCCTCCCGGTAATATCTATGCTATCAATGATGCACTCACTGCTGAGGGTGCTGCCGATGATTATGAGGCCTGTCTTAAGCAGCTAGTCAATAACAAGGTAGTTGATCTGTCAGCAGCTAGTGGCTTTCCTAAATTTGATCTCATGCTTTTGGGCATGGGTCCGGATGGTCATGTGGCGTCTCTATTCCCCGGGCATCCTCTCGTCAATGAGAATAAACGATGGGTAACCTTCATCAAGGACTCTCCAAAGCCACCTCCAGAGAGAATAACTTATACTTTTCCGGTAATCAATTCGTCTGCAAGCATCGCCCTTGTTATATGTGGATCTGGTAAAGCTGATGCTGTGCATAGAGCGCTTGGGAATCAGGAAAATTCTGATTTGTTGCCTGTCCAAATTGTTTCACCTGAAGGGAAGCTAACCTGGTTCCTGGACAAGCCTGCAGCTTCTAAACTGTAGGAACATCCATGCTAATAGTAGTGCGGGTTTGGTAAGATATTCAATAAATTATCTCTCATATGCCATATCCATCTTCCACTGGATGGATTTGTATAGAGAATATGTTGTAATATGTTGTTAAAAGAATATGAAATGGATTCAGTTTTTTTCACCAAAAAAAAATGTTGTAATAAGATGTTTTCTTTGTAACTTATGAATATTAAGGCCTTAATTTAGCCATGATTGTAGTGAAGAAGGTTTTGGTTTACTTGATTCGTTATGTGCATAGGGTGTAGCTAACTAACTGTTCATTTTTAATGTTAATTTTTTATTATTTGAATAACATTTAGATTGAATAATTCAGAGAATCATAATTTATCTTAAATAAAGAAAATTTAAGGCTAGGTCGGGCCATGAACCGGGCTAACCCATATTTTTTAAAAATAAAAAAAAAATTAATATAAAGTATAAAAATAGACAAAAAATAAATAAAAAGAACTTAAAATAAAATAAAATAAAATACAAAAACCAGCCCTAAACTTTTTAACAATCATAAAAACCTCGCCTATAATTTCACTTTAGCAAAAACCTCCCTTCTATTTTTAAAAAATTTGACGAAAACCTTTCTTCCATCAATGATCATGACAGACAATGTCAAACAAATGAACAAATCTTTCCAAATACTTATTTTACCTTTTGCAAATTAATTTACATTTGTTTTTACGAAAATACACCTGTCAACATATTGTCATCTTTCCCTTTCCCATCGTACCGAAGCACACAGTGCAAAGGGCTGTCACGAACTAGAGTATCTCTGCTCCGTCCAGTTACCTGGCGTGCGCCAAACCCAGTGGCTTTATGTACCAATCCACTAGAGACACCATATTGGGCTTTGGTCAAATGGACTGACTGGGATATATGGAATATGTGGATTATCTTCTTGGACTAAGAGTTCACCTGAGGATCCAGGGGTTAACAATGAAGCAGGACATAAGACGGTATGGAACATATTCCACATGGTTGCCACCTTCGTGGACCATGGTTTCAGAACCATCATTCCCAGTAGCTGATACTGGAGCATAGGATGGAGAGTAAGGAGAATGTTCAGTAAGTTCATTCATGTCCTGCTCTACAGGTTCCGGGCGCGCTTCCACAGTCGGAATGACAGAATCATAAGATGGGGAGTAAGGACTATACTCAGGATACCAGCGGTTCAACAATCAACATCAGATTGCGTCGCTTGTGGAACAGACGGATAAGAAGGGAGAGACGAGTAGTCGGGACAGGCAAAGGAGGAATTTTCATGAGAATCTAGAGGTTCCACAGCTTGCGGATTTGGGGAGAATGAAGCGTGAGATAAGGAATAGGGAGCATGAGAATCTGAGCCCTCTGCATAATGAGATATCTCTGTACATCCACGAATTTCTGCCTCGTCTGATGCGGATAGGGAGCCAAGAGAAAGATCAGACCCAAGATCCAATTCCCTACGACGTGCTAAATGAGGAAGATCGAGATACAAATAGATCCACTCTCCTATTTTGACCTTCATTTCCCTCATCTGCCATCCCCAAACCAACCCCAAAAACTTTCTGGTGGTTTCAATCAGGAAAAAGAAAAGCCTAAAAAATCATATATCAAAAATCCGTAAAATTTTTAGAATTCAAGAACATAAAGTCTATGATTTCCAAGAAAAGAGCAAAAAAGAAACAAAAAGCCCTAAATAAACCGCAAAAACTATGAAGATATTCGGCCTCAAGAAAAACTAAACAAATCCCTAATTGTCCCTCGATGAAGACACCCGAACGCACACCACCTCTCTTTAAAATTTCGAACTCCGTACAAAGAATTGATCTGAAGTTGTCGGGTTGAATAAGAAAAGACGGTAAAGAGGTCGATGGGAAAGGGAAAGATGACAATATGTCGACAGGCGTATTTGGAAAGATTTGATCATCGGATTGACGGAAGGGAAGTTTTTGTCAAAATTTTTAAAAATAACAGGAAGGTTTTTGCTAAAGTGAAACTATAAGGCAGTTTTTTATGATTGTTAGAAATTTCAGGAGATTCTTGTATTTTATCTAATTTTATTTTTTATGAATTTTGATGTATATAATTATTAATATATGTAATAATAAAATTGAAATAAATTTATATATATTAATACTATATATGGGTCGTGTTGGGCTATGCCAACACACGGGCTGCGAGCAACATGACCTGCTCAATTGTATCGTGTTGTGCTAGCCCATGGACTTGAAACCCGAGGCCCGACATAACCCGCAGTCCGTCGTACTGGACTATAGGTGTTACCCGATTTACACCTCTACCCATGACCCAAAGGCAAAAACAGTTTGGCATACGGTTCGGTTTTTAAAACATTGGCTTGGACCAGTTCCAATAAAGTTGGACTTGGTGTTTTGGGCCCAAGTCTAAGCCCGATGGCCTAAATTCTTATCCAAGCCCAACCAACAAAGAGTCGGGTAGCCTGATCTTTGGAACTAGAATGTGTAGACAATGGTCGAGTATGTGAGGGGGAGGGGTCCAAGCTGCCTTGTCACGGGTTGCACACTAAATATGTATGCAAACTTCAAGTTTTTAATATTTTTTATTAATAAAATTTTAAAACTGAACTAAATAAATATTTAGGATTGCCAATAGGTCGGGTTTGGTACAATTGGTTAAACCACTTGAACCATCACTTGGTCAAGATTTCAGGTACAGTTTGAGTAAAACCTAGGGAGAGGTTAAAAATTGTTGACTTGGTCAAAAACCATTTGATCCGGACAATTGGAGCGTTGCCTCATTCGACCCAATGACAAGTGCAAACTTTGGGAGGCCATAACGTTGCACTTCGATATCTGATTGTGGTGTTTTTTTATTTTGGGTAACTATTTTTGCCAAAACCCCTTTTTTGCCCTTAAATTGTAATTTTTCATATTTTGAAATAGAAGAGGTTAGGATTTGGGATTGTTCAGTTTTTTTTTAACATTTGGATGCTTGATAAAGAGAATTAGATGGCATTTTTGACTTTTCAAATGTCACTTAATGACTGATTAACAGACTGATTAACGACAGGTAGTAAATTGTCATATTTTGAAAATTCAAATACTGGATTATCGCATTTTAAAATTCATGGACCAAATTATCTCTCAAACCAAAGTACAAGGTACTAATCAGAATTTTCCTAAAATATATGATGCCCATGGTATTTGTATGGGCCCGTGTATTTTTATTTCTAGCTTAGAGGGTTATCATTAGCTTGATTTGATAGCCCGCCGAAACAGCTATTGTGTTCGATTAATCCTTAATCTTCAATCAGTTATAATGTATTTATGCACCAGGAAAGCTTTTATAACCAGTAAAGCATCTCCCTCAACAATGATTGACACACCCAATTCTAATAGGAATACCTATGCTTTTAAGAGAGTCGTAATGGATTGATAATGAATTGCTTTTTGGCTTGAAAAAAAAGGATAAATTACAAAGACCACCTTACATTATGGGGTAAGTGACAAATACTCCTTAAACTTTCATTTGCGACCAAGATTTCGTTGGCTGGTAAGTCAATTAATGGAATGGATTAAATTATTAAAATACCCACTTGAATAATTTAACCTTTTTTTATTTTTTTTCCTTTCCCATTTATCTTAAGCTTAGGGATGGTAATTTTCCCCATCCTCAAAGGGACGGGGATTAATGAATCCTCGGTCGGGGTCAGGGGATGGGGATTAATGAATCCCCCTTTTAACTAGTGATACACATTTTCATTCTTCTTAATATAAAAGATTTTATTAAAAAATAAAGAAAAATGAGATCCTCTTTCATCTTCTCCCTCCTTCTTCCTCTTCATTCTTAAGTAGGCTTACGCTTCTTACGTTCTGAATTACGCCTCATGCCTTTAAGTAGTGGAACACCTCACATCACGCCTCCGCGTTTTAAAATATAACTTGATATATTTTATGTTATGTTTTATCAATTTATAAGCTTTAATTAATTTTGTTATTAAGCTTTGAGGCTTATTCTTTACAGTGCCTTGAGTCTTACACCTTTAGCCTTTTATTCTAATTTTATTGTAATTTGTTTTCAATTTCATTCTACCATTTCATATATAAACAATTGTATACATCAAAATCCATATAGAATAAAATTTCAAGATTTTTTTTTTCAATTTCTTATCTATCTAATTATCTCGTTGTGGGAAAATTCCCGATTAATACCCTGTACTTTGGGCCTAGTGGCACTTTGGTCCCCAAACTTTAAAATGTGACAATTCAGTACCCAAACTTTCAAAATGTGTCAATCTAGTACCTATCATTAAACAACCGTTAAGTGACATTTGAAAAGACAAATACCCTTTGAGTTTCATCTAATTTTCTTTATCAACCATCCATATGTTGATAAAAAATGAACAATCTCAAATCCTTGCTTCTTCTATTCAAGAAAGTCGGGGTTCCTCTCAATGGGCATTCCGGTGACTCAAATTTTATTGAACACTGTTTATTTTTTATTAATGTTTGGATGGTTGATAAAGAGAATTAGATGACACTTGGACGGTATGTGTCTTTTCAAATGGCACTTAATAGATGGCTAATGGGCTGGTTAATGGTAGATACTAAATTGGCATGTTTTGAAAGCTTGAGTACTAAATTATAGTATTTTAAAGTTCAAGGTCCAAAGTGGCACTTAACCGAAAGTACAGGGTACTAATATGAAAATTTTCCTCAATTATTTTGACCTTTTTCATTAATTATTTTTTTCAAAGTTTCTAAAAAAAAATCATGTTACCCTAACCCATCCAGTCTGAACCCGCTTAGACTCATGCCGTGGGCGGTGACGTTAACGGACCTTTACCGTTAGCTTAAGGCATCCGGTTGAACCGGACACAAAAGGACAAAAATCAAAAGTTTTCTCTAAGTCATTTGAACTCTCCCCATTTCTTGTCATCCTCTCCTCTGAGCCCAAACCCAAGCATCTCGCCGGCCACTTACCACAGACCGGTCTCAGTGACTGGAACGGCGGCTAGAACTCCAGCATTCCGGCAGGAACTCTCCAATCTCTCCAAAGATTCCATTATCCCTTATTCTTCTTCTTCATGTTATTTTTGCTCTTCTCTTCTCAAACAGATCGAAGATCCTTAGTAGCTCACACCGGCAGTCAGTAGTCACAGGATCTTCAACCTTAGCAACTCATATTACCCTGTTTTGGGTTTCATTTTGTTGAGCTGTAAGCTGTAATGCTTACCTGAATGTAAGCATTTGATTTGTTTACCCTGAAATTGTGGGCTTAAGGCTTCCGAGTCCAAAACCTCCTAGTTCGACTGGTTTCTATTTGATTTGAGCCATGTGATTATCGAATCTACTTTCGACTTCGGCGGCAAAATCAACCTCTTCTCCACCTCTTGGTCCACTTGACAGTTTCGGGTTTCGCTTTCTAACGTCTATTGCCCGTACGCCGCATAGATTTGGACGTTCTTTGTTCTCCGTCGCTGTCATCATCTTTGTAATCGTTTCTGTGAGAAGACAAACGGAGGTATCAGATGTTTCTCCAAGACAGTTACTCTAACGGAAGTTACAGTATTTCCTTCCCTTCGTCTCATAGATGTGAATTACAAGTTAGATTGGCAGAACTGCCAAGTTACTCTAACGGAAGTTACAGTATTTCACTATTTCTCGATTATCTGCCCAGTTCTTGGCAGACCTGCAAACCCAGATGAACGGGCAATTCAGCTTGGAAGATACAACTATCTCTTCTATAAACAAAGATCTAAGAAATCAAGGTCCCTCAGCTTTCTAAGATCAAGTAACCTACGCTTCAGTGTCCAAAACAACACTCCACACACACCTGCAGCAATAAACACGAAGAAGAAGAAGAAGCCGACGTGGTCACCTCTGATTGGCGGGTTCACGAGTCCAGTGCACCCATGGGTGCACAGAACGCGGACTCAAAAAGGAACTCAAAACATAACCCGTGCAAGGATTTGATCGGTTTAATATGTATGGGTATTTACACGTGTAAGAGGATACTTGTCACATACTGATTGGAAGTTCACGACAATTGCAGCGCAAAAAAGTGCAGCTAATTCGATCCCAAATTCCTAAAGCCAAAGGTTTCGTCAAGGCTTTCCCTTTTCGCTTAATCGCTTTCCTTTATTTTTGAGTCATTTTGAAGACAAGGAACGAAGGAGAAACACAGAGGAGTGAGTGACAACACCCTTCTCTCTCTCTCTCGTCAGCGAGTCCGACCGAGCGACCAAACTGCCCGACCATGTTTCGACAAGCGCCTCGTCTGTTGGCCAGAGCCACCTCCATCATGAGGGCTAGGTCCTTCTCCACCGATCTTCCCGCGGCTCCCACTTCCGATTCGTCGTTCGTGGAGGCTTGGAAGAAAGTGATCCCCAACATCGACGCACCCAAGACTCCCCTCTCTTTCATGCAGCCTCGACCGCCGACGCCTCCTTCGATTCCCGGGAAGCTCACTGTCAACTTCGTTCTTCCTTATCAATCTGAGCTCGCAGCCAAGGAGGTGAGTGTCAGTTGGTAGCGTCTTTCTTTATTTCGATTTTTGGAATTTTAGCACTTCTTTTCATGAGGGTTTGTTTCATTTAGGTTCGTTGTTATTGGTTGTAGTGATGATGATAACGAGGTTGGGTTTATTTCTGTGGGTACTTATTTTTCAAAACTTACTTAAATGCCAAATCTTCTTGTTTTGCTATGCGATAATTGATGTAGGAAGTTGGTTTTTTCTTCCTTTTTTTTTTCGATTCTGAATATTTGGGGGAGTATGAATTCGGTGAGGTTTTGTTTCTAGGGTTTTAAATTTCTCGAAAGAGCCTTGTTTACGTGTTTTGATTATTAATTTTATGGAATAGTCGTTTAGTTTGTTTCTCTTTTGACATTTGGTCAATGCAGAATGTTTTGGTGAATTGATTTTCCAATGAAGTAACTCCACCTTTACGTGTGGTGATTATTTTTCTGGACTTTGTCCTCTTGCCCTTTAATTTCAAGGTTTATGATGCAGGGACGGCTGGTTCAAATTCTAGGATTACCTAATTGGAGAAGTTTGGTTCATTGGGTAATGGTGACACCAGTTAATGCTGTTTGAAGTTTGAACAATTAATTGCATATCCTATGAGTGTGCCTTCCTGACATTTCTTGCGTAACCCTTGGTTTCTCCCGAACTTCCTGATTGGATGTTTCGTTTAAGTGGATGGTTTTGCATCAACTCCCGCTTACGAGAGGGCTTTATCGTTTCATACTTAAAAGAACTGGTTTTCTCTAAACCGGTTTGATACTTTCTTGGTAGACTTCAAGTATTTTTGCTTCATTGATTGGAATCTCCGATTAACTTCCATTGGAAATGCTTGGCTAGTTTGTGCTGGATGTTGTATTTTAAACTATTGGATGTGAGATGTGATGCTGCACTATTCAAGAACTTGGGCACCTATGGATGCAACTTCGATTAGTTTGAGTTGGGGAATTTGTTATTTTCAATGGGCCCGAACCTCAACCCAAGCCTGATGTAGTTGAAATTCTTCATATCAGGAAACTTGACTTGCAGTCCTATGGGCACCAGAGCATGAGGTAAAAGAGAGGGGGGGGGGAGGGAGAGGGAGAGAATTGGAGTTCCAAATGATAAAAAATGAAGGAAAGCATTTGCGGGATATTAAGGCTGTATGTCATCACTAATGAACAATAGGAACTAAATACAAAAGAATCTATTCTTCAACTCCCCATGTTCTAAGTAGGCAGAGTATATTGGAGTGGGTTCATGGCTGAGACAATTAGAGAACTAATTCTGAAAAATCTTGAAAGATTTGGGGCATTTCTGGAGTGTGTTTATAGATATAAGATATCTAGGTTAAGGCCCTTAAGACTGCATGCTTCGAAGGTGCAAATAAATAAATAAAAAAGAATTGAAGGAAATGGCTATTGTGTAACCTCTCACAAAAGAAATGTAATATTCTTCACTTCCTCAAGCTCATGCAGGTCTCTTCATTTATTTTTGTATAAAGGGAGGATAGTTCTGTCATGGTTGCTGGTGCCACTTTATGAGGTTATATGACATGGCATATTGCACCACCTACTTAAGACACCATATCTGTTACCTGTGTTTGATAACCAGCTGCATCAGATGCTACAAGACATCCCAGTCACCTAACTGTTGTCTTTTGCATAAGCAATTGGGTCATAGATTACTGTTCAATATTTTCATGAGGTTGGCATTTGCCCCCTCCCCTGATCCTACTTTTATTTCCTTGTTACAAAGTACCCCAATACAGCTCTTCCCTATTCACACCTTGTCTGAGCAAAGCTTCAGTCAGCATATTTGCTGATCTGTGGATCCATGTAAAACCTGCTTCCAGCTCTGTTGTAATAACTCTCATCCCTCTCAAGTAGTTCCAATACTATATTCTTATGTCCTTGCTATCATTTGTTGTAGAAACACTGTATCATCTTTCTCATTTCTTTGTATTCCATCAACCTGGAATGCTTATATCACTTTCCTTGATTTTTTTTTTTAATTTCGTTTTCCTAGTAAGCTTAGATCTCTTGTCTTACAATGAGTCAACTTCAGAACCATAATATTGAAATTTTAGTTCTTACTTTAATGGCTATTAAATCATGATAAAATCATAAAAAAAATGGTATTGAATATGGTTCTCCATCTGCCTGATTGCTCAGCTTCCATATTATTCTGTTTCAATATTTAACTGAGGTTCAAGAAAATGATCATATACCATCTATGTTGTTTTTCTAACAAAATATGATCCTTAGGCTTTGCATGGGGCAAATTATGTATGAGCTTGTGACATAAGTTTACTAATATCACAAGGTTTCTTGTGCTGCCGATCAAGTAGTGTGCAACAGAGGTCAAGTAGTGTTTCATGGACACGGGCACGGGGTCAGAATCCTATGTATGTCTAAGAGTCTGACTCAGAAAGACAAGAAAACATGGATTCACGTACACATCCATGGAAAAATAAACACTATTAAAGTAGTTGATATATATGTATGTATATTGGAATTCTTACATTATATTACCTGCAAAAAGGGGTATTACCTAATTGTCTTCATTACTAAATGAGATCTGATAAAAAATGACATTCATCTTGTGCATTAGCTGTTCATTTATGTAAAATAATCTAGGAGATAAAAAAGAAATGTTATTATCTTCTGTAAAAGTATCCAACATTCATCTGACATAGACATGCCATCTATTTAGAAGAGTCCATGCAACACTAAGGTCAGGACAAGGCCAATTAAGAGTTTTTCAGACTGGTTTTTGTGTGGCAGCCTGCTTGGATTGTTATCCTCCTCCCTGGTGTATTCTGATGTTGAAAATCTTGTTATTTCATTGAAAACATTTGCAGAACAGAAAAACCATTTGAACAAGCCAAGATATTAGGTATATTTGTTTGAATTCTTGCTATGGAGTTCAATATTTTAAATGCCTTACTGCATTGCTCAATGGAATTGATTATACTGTAGTTGAAATTTATGATTAAAGTGATATTCTCTTATGAAATTAATGATGCAATGTTTTTTGATATATGCAAAATTCGTCATTATTGAAATACATGGATCGTATCCAATAAATTATGGGTCATATTTGTTAAAAACCATCATGTGCCTGCCTACCTAGTCTTGCTTTGTTGTCCTGATGACTATGATCCTAATTGTTGACAGCATAGCTGTTTAGTAGTCCACAGCAAAAAATAAACATTAAAGAACATTGTGTGCCGCTCCCTCTTTGAATTCCTTGCTCGTCACTTGGAGGTCAATATGCCTTGATTCACTTGCTGAAGTTAGAATCCTGGAGGATGATTATGTTGTTTAATCAATTATAGTAGAGGGTAGATAATATGCAGAAAGTTGATATTTTGTTTATTATTGTAAGTTAAAAGGTTAAAAGAATAAAATAGTCTGGGGGACTAATAAATGGAGCTCCCTATGTAATCACACCACTTAATACGATTGAGTTGTCACATACACAGCCACTAACTGCAGTTACTGCACGGTGCCATGGTCTGCTCTAAGTTTGGAATTGGGTAGTTTGAACTTAGGCTATATTAAACTTCAGTCAAATATTGGATTGAACGTTGCTGCTTTTAGAATGACATCTGAAAGTTGGTTACATTTTATTAAATATACAACTACAGAAGACTATCAATTATAGATGAAGTATTATTCACTTACTGTTAAGTAACTGATTAAAACATATTAATATAGTTGAATAAAATGAGAATTATACATTTACATTTGTCTACTTGGCTGCGTCAATTTTTCATGTCTGTCAAGCCAAGTTAGGTGTTCGGGGAACTTGCTCTGGATTTATACTTTATTAGGATGAGGTCATGAAACTAAAGCAAACTGAAGTCATGCTATGAAGTATGTAGTACTATAGTACAAATGTACTTTCGACCAGGTTGAATCCACATTGGCCTGATCAGATGATTGTAATAATCCAAGCTATAGACTTTCATTTGAGTGGTCAGAGGTGGTTGGCACTTGGTAGTTAGTTGCTACGAGCTTGTGGCATAGGAGATCATCGAGTTAGGTCCTGAAGCATCTAAATGTACAAAATCTTGTCAACAAAGCTGGCTTTAGAGTCTGCGAGATGGGCACTGAAAAATTCTAAATAGTGAGCAATAATTAGATAAAGGATTAACATCCTAACATTCAAATACTTCTGTGTTTCAGGTAGACATGGTCATAATCCCAGCCACAACTGGGCAGATGGGTGTTCTGCCTGGTCATGTAGCCACCATTGCAGAGTTGAAGCCTGGGATCTTATCTGTGCATGAAGGAAATGATGTGACCAAGTACTTCGTTAGCAGTGGATTTGCATTTATCCATGCAAACTCTATTGCAGACGTAGTTGCCGTTGAAGCAGTACCGATTGACCGAATTGATCCAGCCTTGGTTCAAAAGGGCCTCGCAGACTTCACCCAAAAGCTTAGCACAGCCTCGACCGACTTAGAGAAAGCCGAGGCCCAAATTGGGGTGGATGTCCACAGTGCTCTCAACTCTGCACTCACGGGCTAGTGGTAGTTCTTTTACTGTTGCTTCAGTCTTTTAGTTGTATTTCTCAGCTTCACTGTCATTTCGTCTTGAGCAAGAAATTTTCAAGTGTTATCTCTTTCAGCTTTTCTTGAATGCAAGATAATGAATTCTCCTTGTTTAGGTTTTGTCATACTTATTTCTAGCAAGTTAAAATAAAATTCTGGACATTCGTTGGTCCGTCACTTGACCTCATCTTCTTATACTTCATTCTATTTTAAATTTTTTTATACTGCCATTTAGAAGGAACAGAGAGACACCTAGTGAAGAGAGAGGTCTGGCAATGTCTAGCCATAACATGGCGTCTTCAGCTTCTAGGTTTGTCTCGATGTCTAACTTCTCTACAAGGTCTTCATGGCTAGATGCGTGGGCGTTGGAAGGATCAGCAGGTGGGGCCACTCTGCAAGTCTGCAACTTCCCTTAGGCTCGGTTTGGAAGGAATAGAGTGTAAAACCTTGTATTTTGTATTTATTTCTACTGTATGTATGTGTATTTGTACTCTTTCCAAACTGAGCTTAAATGCTTAATAAAGGTGGAGCTTGTGTCCGACCCAACAGAGGTGAAGATTCTCGTAGAAGGGTGTCTTAAACGTCTGTTATAAATGGCATTGGCTACTTAATGTCGTTTAATGGGATTTTGATTTTTCATTAAAGAAAATACCCATATTTTTTTTTAGATTTATGTAGTTGCCAAGGGACAGAATTATCCTTTTTAATAATAGCTTTTTATGGTTAAAATAGTCATTCTCTTATTTATTTGAGAAATAAAAAAGTAATAAATATATGTATCCGGATAAATGCATTTGGGTAAGTAACCTCAATGTTTATTTTTGAGGGTAATCATATACTGCAGCTGGAATAATGTAGTTAAATTTGTCATGTGCATAGATAAGATGGTACAGATAAGATAGTACTCACAGATCAGGAGGGATCAATGCCCATCCCCATCAAGGGTTAAAAACACAATCCTTACTAGTTAGTTACCAGACAAAAAGTGAGCAATCCTGGTGTTCATCCTAGGAATATATGGTGTGATTTGACATCAATCGATCTTGTTAATTTACAATTAGCATCCTTAAATACTGCTTGGACTTCCAAGTTCCAACTCTCGCCTCTATCCATCTTTGCATCTGGTCAACCAAAAGTCCAAAACCCTGCTATTTGAGAATACAACTAATCAATATTTAGGTCCGTTTGGTTCATAGGAATAGGGTCTGAACTTGGAATCCAATTTATATTCTTGGTGGAATGGCATTCTCCATTCCCTCCCCCTCCCTTGGGAATAAGAATCCATTCCAATTGATTACGATTGCAGTCTGAACCAAATAGGTGGAGGAATAAACCACTCTAATTCTGATTTCAATGAATTTAGATTTCGATTATATTCCAATTTCAAGTTTCAACTGTGAACCAAAAGGGACCCTTGGTTATTTCATCAGTTGAATGCCTTTTAACCTGCAAATGCTTCAGCCAACAAGCCAGATCTGGGCATGCCACTAAGGCCCCGTTCGCTTTTCGATAAGTTATTTATCCTGGTAAATGCAGGCATGCAGTTATTTGAATAAGTTTTTCCTGGGAAACACTTACCTGGGTAAGTGTATTTATCCATGTTCTTGTATTTCTCATATAGATAAGGTAATGACCATTTTAGCCATAAAAATGCATTATTAAAAGGGGCATTTTTGTCTCATTCAAGTGTTAGCAACTTTCCCTCTATGTGGGAAAGTTATTTACCCACCTAGGAGATGGGTATCACTTACCAGGAAAATAAACTTTCCCTGATCCCCACATAAATTTGGAAGAACATGGGATTCTTGGTCAATGGGAACCAAAATCCCATTGACCAACTTTCTTCCCTTTCAAAATCCGAAAAAGAAAGCCCCCTAAAAGCTACCACTGCCAATAGCGCACCATATGGATCAAGGATTGCCACACCATGGCCTGGTCTCTTATAATTAGAGCTGTCAATGGGTCAGCGATTATAACAGTTCTAGTTTCATGATTTTGTTCTGATTAAAAATTCGGTTGGTTCCAGTTTTTACCTTCCCGAACCAATGCAGGCTCAGTATCAATTATTTTATTAAATATATAATATTTTCTAATTTTCATATAATTTTTACCATTTTTTTTATCATTTTATGATTTGATAGATAATAAATAAGATAATATTAATTAAAAATGTTTAACTTATTAACATATAAACAATTTAATATTTTCTGTCATTTTCATTAAGGCTATATTATTAAAATTAAAATTTTAAGTTACTATTTAAATAAATAATATTATTTTCAGTATAATCGGGTTCATTGGACTTGAATCTAATAGACCCAACTATTAACTGGGACTATTTAGGGTCTGTGATTTTATCCTGATTAATAATCAGTTTGAAACTGGTTTTACCTAAACCCCACCCGTTGACAGCCCTACTTATAATACAGAAGGCACCGTGAATCCAAAACGTCCGACACTTGGGTTCTTTCGATATAATCTTGTAAGCTGTCTGATATCACAATTATGCACCTTATAGTGTTTCTACTTTAAAGATGTGACATAAATGGATTAGGTTTTTTTCTTTTCACATAACTGCCTTTCAGTTTCAGTATCAGATAATTTCGGTTCTGTAAATTGTTTCTTATTTTTTCTTTCTTGGTGTTATAGCTTGCTACAAATTTTAATAGATTTAACTAACTATGGAAAACTTTTTTAATAATTCCCAACCTCCATTCTGATTTTAAAATTGGATTTTAGAAACAAAACCTCCTCTATGAAGGTTGACGTATTGCTTCAACTGAGGAAGACGGAGAAAGAAGGGTCAAGATTAAGGGGTAGAAATCAATGAAGGAGAGGATAAAACACTCATAAAATATACAAAAAAAAAGGTAGTTTTGAGATTTTCAAATATTTAATGACAAACATAATAACATCAGGTACTCCAAATAAGTGATAGAATGTTAATGGCTGGACTTGAGTGTCAATGTTCCGAAGTTTAGGCCAAGTGTCATTACTACCCAAGTATTGGTAATTATTTAGAATCTAGATTTGCTTCTCACATAGCAGACGTTGAAAATATTTCTTCTACTTGACGTTGTCATTTATGAGATGTTCTCGATATATGGTTGCGATCTGCTGTGAGGTTGGTATGAAGTGTGAGGCGCTGGTGCACTCTGTGAGGACCAAATCTGAGTGCAACTATTTATAGGGGTAGTCCTCTCCAAACGCCCACCTTCAGCGACTTTACCAGCATCCTAACTGTAGCTGGCACCCTCCCCTAAAATTATAGTATTATACTATATTCTAAGAATGCAATTGTCCATGTCAGGTTTTTAATATTGCTTCCCAACGTCTTTAGAATTTTGTGATTTTTTATTTAAAAAAATAAAAAATGGGATTTTTTAAGCTCATCAACAACTAACTAAACTCACCCAAACCAATTTGGTTAAGAAATTGAATATAACATGAGAAATCTTTTAGGGTTCATTATTTATATATACCTTTACGTTTGAGGAAACTACTTATATATACCTTGACGTTTGAGACTTTGGTCCAACCTCCTGTTTCCTCTGGGTTATCCTTTCCTGTTAATGAGATTTGGAGTAAATCCATTCCTCCTCGGGTTGGTAGTTTTTGTTGGAAAGCTTTCTTAGAAAAAATAAACACAAATGACTTGCTTCAAAGAAAGAGACATAATTCCTGTTTATTTTCCAATAGATGTATTCTTTGCAAAGCTAATAGAGAAACGGCTTACTACCTTAGGGTTACTTGTCCGGTTACTAAAACTGTTTGGGAATGGGCTTCCTCCCTATTTGGATGTACTTGGAATCTCCCTGTAAATTTGCAAAGCTTGTTCTCTCCATCGTTCTCAAGATGGCTTAAGAAAAGAGGGAAGATCATGTGGAGAAGCATTAGGGCGACTGTGTGTTGGTTCGTATGGGAAGAGAGGAACTCTAGACTTTTTTCAGACAAGGAAAGATCTATGGAGAATTTAACTGAATTGATACACTTTAAGGGTTGGTCACCGGCTGAAATCTTTGGAGTTTTTTTCATATTATTCCATGGCTGACCTTTTGAGAAAATGGAAAGAAATAGCTACCTCGGCCCAGTGCAAAAGGACCTCTAGACCTTCTTCGTCCCCCCTTCCTTCAGGATTCATAAAACTGAATTTTGATGGCTATAGCTTAAGGAATCCTGGGCCTACTAGGATTGGGGGAGTTTTCAAGAATGAGGCTAGGATTACTAATGCCATGTTCTCTGGCCCTATTGGAGAGGGCGACTCTCTTAGGGCTGAGATTTTAGTAGTTCTGGAAGGAATCAAAAGAACAAGAAAATTAAACATTCGATGCTTGGTCATTGAAGGGGACTCGGAGGTGGTGATTAGGTGGTTGAAGGAAAGCAATGGCTTGTGGAGCTACAGAAATGAAAATAAAAAATTTAAATGGCTGAGTAGGGATATTGAGGTGAACTATAATTGGGTGAAGAGAAGTGCTAATTCCATGGCTGATGGGTCAGCCAAGCAAGGGGTGCTTAAGGACTCTTTGTTTTGGGCTATTTTTTAGCATTCTTTCTTGTTCTTAGTTGTGAGGGAGTTAAGATATTTTACCTCCTCTTTCTTGTATTTAAAGTTTCACAATTTTTATAATCTAATAAATCATTTTGTTATTGATAAAAAAAAAATTGTAGTTTTAAAACTATTTACATATACATTGTTGAACTTTTAAAGGAATCTAATATATACAAATACGTATCTTATCAATAAATAATGTATAATTATATTTTAGACATGATATATGTATTATTTTATATTTGATTTAAATTTTTTATTTTTTTATGTATTAAGAATTGCAATTTAGGGGAAAGAGGGGGTTCTCACAAAAATAGTAGGACAAGGTGCCTTTGGCATCTTGGAGTGCATAGATCTTGAAAAGTTTTCCTTAATCGAACACCAGAGTGCAAAGTTATAGCCTCCTAAAAGTTTGCATACACAGTTAATATGTAACCCGTGACTCGGTGACCGGGTTGCCAATTCGACGATTTTGTTGACTTTTCGACAGTTTTTGAGGCAACGATGGGTTTTATAAGAACCGGACCAAAAAGTCAACTAGGTGACTATTCAAACAATTTGACCATCCAAATCAACGATGAATTAAAAAAATTGGATTAAACACAGACAAAAAACACCCTTTAATTGTTCATTAAATTGTCAAAACATGTTAGTCTCTCTCCTTATTCTTTTTCCCTTTCTTTGTTGCTAATAAAAATATACCATCGAACGAGGTGATCGGATCCCGTTCTTGTCATGGGAGGAGTCAGGATCTCCTGCCCACAAAAACTCTACCCACATATCATCGCAGCCACACATGAAGAACATCTCATCCTCCTAGATAGCATTATGAAGGGGGAGATGTTTCCAATTCATGGGGGTAGTGTGTTGTAGATAGACGTGGGCAGAGTTCTCGTGGGCAGAAGATCCGGATTCTCATGGGAGATGCTCCCAATGCATAGATGGGATGGGCTGTGAGGCACACTCCGTGGGCAGCTGATCCCGTCCCTCTAAAGAGAGCCTATTTTCCCCCCTCTTCCTCTCTCCATTCCTCTTCTCCTTTCTTCCTTTTACTCTCTCTCTCTTCTTCCACAATGGCAATGTCGGTGAAGCAACAACAAACAAACCTGCCTTTTGAAATGGTGTGCCCTTTTGTTTTTATAAAAATAGTAAAAAATTCTTCTCTTAGCTTAGGTACGCCCTTGGTAAAAATTAATCAAAATTGATTATTCCCCATTTTGTTTCTCAAGAAGAGAAAGAAAGAGATTGAAGACATGATGGAGAGAAGAGGGTAAAAATGACCAAGACCAAAGAACACGACCAAGGCCAACTAAACAACCAAACCACAGAACCAGACACTGAGTAAACAACAAACTACAACCTACAACAGAGACTCAAACACCAAGAAAAGAACCACCAAAAAAATCAGCCAGATAGGTCAGAGTCCATATTCTTCCAAGTTCCAAGGACAACTTCCAAATTGGACCTATTCTCCAGATGGAATGGACTCTTCCACCAGCCCCCCACCCCCCGGCGCCAAAATGGACCGGATCATAAGGGAGAAAAAGGAATAGGGGGTCCTTCATTGTGAAATGGCAGATACCAGCCTTGTAATCCATCTAATCCATCCAAGGTAGTACAACCAGCTAATCCATCCACCCACGTGATTATCGCCATAATCCATTATGCAAGAAGAGTTGAAGAAGGTAAACGTACCACTGATCAAGTGTTGAATGAAACAAATAATTAGCATTCTGTTGTTTATATTATTATTTCAATGTTATTTTATACACAAGAAGGGTAATCAATTTTGTAACTGTACCAGGGAAGCCTTCTTTGCCCTGTCTAAAAGTATACCTTGAATGCTACATTGGCTGCGCTCTCTTATAAATATCGACGATACATTGAAAATTGGGTTGACATGAATGACTAGCTCCTTCCCGACCAGGTTGAGTCTTCTCAAATAATGGTTTGTTCATCTGTGATCAACGGATTTTCTAAATCAACCCAGTCTGCAAGCCAGTCCAGCTGTTGCTGAGTAAATGACTCAATAATGGCAATGTTAGCAAGCATTCATAAATTATCATAATTTTGCATTTTGTCTCCACGGGCATCCACCTTCAAATGCCTGTTCCAATACATCTTCCATCCGCTTTGCAAACAATATCTGTAAAAACCAGAAGATGGAGCAGATAAGAATCTATGGCATTGCATAGGACTGGTCTGGTTTCACCTTTATGTGCAGCCTGTAATTTGTGATCATTCATGAGAGATTCCAGTGAAAGGTATACATGTCATGCTTTACACGAATGAGGTTAATTTGCTTCTAAGTAATACAATAATATTTCAATAGAAATAAAAGTACCTCCAAGCTAGAAAGAACAGCTGATGGTACTTCAGCCAAGTCTTTCAAGTTCCTCTCCGGAAGAATAACCCTTTTGATACCATAACGGTGTGCAGCCAATACCTGCAGTTTAAGTAGAAAATCCTATTAACTTCTTATGCATGGATATTCTGATGTGCGTTAAGATTCAGAAACATAATATGTAAATTTTTCCCACTAGTCTGATTATAGAAACTTGGGACTTGTCTCTTTCAGATAAAAATGTATATGGTGCCTCAGGAATAATGTCATTGTAGCCATTATATAAATACTCCAGTCTTCCAGGATTCAAGATACAGACTGCCTCTGTTGGGGTAGGCCCAAGTCATGTAGAGGCTTCCTATCAAAAAGATTCTAGCTATTCAATCAGCAATCTTCATTTCCCCCCACAGAAAAAGTATTGATCATTCAGAAGTAGACAACACTTTTGATGGTCAGAGCCTATAAGAATCATGTGACCAAGAGGCAATCCATCATTCAATTCTTTGGTGTAATATGTGAATCACATGCATCAAAGCAGCCATTGCTATCAGAATGTTTTGACCGGTAGTACAACAAGTTTACATAAATGTGTATAATAACACCCACCTTATCTTTGATGCCACCAACTGGTAATACCAGACCCCGCAGTGTCATCTCTCCTGTCATTGCTGTGTCTGCTCTTACTCTTTTTTGACTGAAGAGTGACACCAGTGCTGTTACCAGGGTCACACCAGCTGAGGGTCCATCCTTTGGTACAGCACCAGCAGGAAAATGTATATGAATATCTCGTCCCTCCATCAAATTGATTTCCCCACCAGCTGCCAACTTAAGATATGCTGCCCTTGCTCTTACCTATTCAAATGAAAAAAAAAAAAAAAAAACTTTTCAGTAAGAAATGCATAGGATAATAGCTGAACCAGCCCTTTTGTCCCCCTTGCTCTCACCTACCAAGCATGAGGTGGGGTGATCATAAGCTGAAATTTTCATGTTTTTGATAAGGGGGTATTAATATCAACTTTATGTAGATGCTTTGAATGTTAATGGGTACATTTGGTATATATATATATATATGTAAGTGTGAATGCAATGTGAAACTTTTTTTGACTAAAATTACCCTCTATTTCTTTGTTTGAGAAAGGGTATAAAATTCATTTTATTATAAGTTTAATTCCAACTTTAAACCTTTAATGGCTACTAAAATGCCTATATCTGTGTATTTAATCCATCTCTAATTGTAAGGGTTGAAAATGTCACTTCAATTATTACATTCCACCTCATTTAATCCCCTCCCATTAAGTCTTATACTTAAGGTATTAAATCCCATTTTCTCTTATTAAATCCTGTATATTTAAGTTAATTTTCACTAATAAATGCTACTAATTAGATCTATGTCAATATTTTTAACAATATAAACTCATATATTCTAAAATTGATTCAAAAACAACCATTTTTATCAAAGTGATGGCTAAGTAATTCAACTATCAAAATCAAATTGATCAACCTATGAAGTCATAAGGTAATAAAATTTTTAAAGTAGAAATAGATATATAAATTTACAAAAAATGTGGAAAAAATAGACACATTTAAGATATTTTTATTAATCAAATTAAAAAAAATAAGTGTAATAAACAAGAATTACTTTTACTGATAATGAAAATAAAATACATAATTTAGAACTAACCAAAAATTAATAATAAATAGTTAAGCTTTTGGGTTAAATGTGTTAACCTTTAATGTCATAAATAAATAATAAAAATTAATAAAATATAAAAAAAAAACAATAAAAAATACATAAATTTTGCAAAAAAGCATGCATGCACATGTATAATATCATATGTTTATCATATTAAATAAAATGTAAGTGTGATATATTAGAATTATTTTTACACACAAAAATACAAAAAAAATGTAGAAAACTTTGAACACATCTATAATTCTATATTTACACTACTATTAAAAATATGAACAAGATTGTAGAACTTTCCTTTAACTAAAATACTCGTTTTTGAATTTAGTCTCTATTTAATTGTAAGGTTTAAATTGTAAATTGAACTACTACTTTTCATCTCATTCAATTTCCTATATTTAATCTTACATTATTTTGATAAATGAACAAAAGAAAAAAAAAATACACCAAAAAGATAGACACTACAAAAAGAATAGTCTAACCAAGTAGGTAGGCCTCTCAATGATACTTGAAACTTCACAACTCGATCCGATTATCATATATTTGGATGAGGTGTTTGTGTAATCAGATTTGGATTTGATTGCATCCGATTAATAATAAAAAACAAAAAAATAAAAGTTCATAAAATTTATAGAAAATTTTGGATATATTATTACTATCATTATCATCATCTAGAATTTACACGTGCAAAGAATGTGCACGCTTATTAGAATGTCTATATTTGTGTATTTAATCCATCTCTAACTGTAAGGGTTGAAAATGTAACTTTGATTATTACTTGCCACCTCGTTTAATCCCCTCTCATTAAGTCTTATACATAAGGTATTAAATCCTATTTTCTCTTATTAATCCTATATTGTTAAGTTATTTTCCACTAATAAATGCTACTAATTAGATCTATTTAAAAATTTTTAACAATAGAAACCCAGATATATTAAAACTAACTCAAAAATAAAATCATTTTTATCTAAGTGGTGGCTAAGCAATTCAACCATCCAAATCAAATTGATCAACCTATGAAGTCATAGTTAGGTAATAGAATTTTTAAAATAGACATAAATATCGAAAATTACAAAAAATGTAGAAAGAACTAGACACGTGATATTTTTATTAATCAAATTAAAAAAATAAGTGTAATAAACAATAAGTATTTTTATTGATAATGAAAATGAAATACATAATTTAGAACTAACCAAAACTGAANTGAAATATAAAAATTATTAATAAACAATAATTATTTTTATTGATAATGAAAATGAAATACATAATTTAGAACTAACCAAAAATGAAATATAAAAATTATTAATAAACAATAATTATTTTTATTGATAATACTTATTTTATTGATAATGAAAATAAAATACATAATTTAGAACTAACCAAAAATGAAATAAAAAAAATAATAATAATAAATAGTTCAACTTTAGGGTTAAATGTTTTAACTTTTAATGTCAAATAAATAATAAAAATTAATAAATATAAAAATACATAATTTTTTTTAAAAGAAGCAATCAAGCCCATGTGTAATATTATATATTTATCATATTAAATAAAAATAAGCATGATATATCCAAATTATTTTTACACACAAAAATACAAAAATATTGTAGAAAAATTGAACACATCTATAATTCTATATTTACATTACTATTAAAAATATGAATAAGATTGTGGAACTTTCTTTTGACTAAAATACTCGTTTTTGAATTTAGTGATTTAGTCCCTATTTAATTGTAAGGTTTAAATTGTAAATTGAACTACTACTTTTCACCTCATTCAATTCACTCTATTTAAATCTTAGATTTTTTTTATAAATGAACAAAATAAAAAAGATACACGAAAAAGACAAAACACTATAAAAAGAAGAGTCTAGTCAAGCAAGTAAGCCTCTCAATGATACTTGAAACTTCACAACTCGACCCAATTGGATGAGGTGTTTGTGCAATCAGATTTGGAATTTGCAATCTGCATCCGATTAATAATAAAAAAACAAAAAAAATAAATAAAAACAGATAAAAATTCATAAAATTTATAGAAAATTTTGGATACATTATTACTATCATTATCATCATCTAAAATTGCCATGTGCAAAGCACGTGCACGCTTACTAGTATATTAAAATGTCTGAAAGCATTTCGTGCTCAACTGTGGTATATGTAGTTATATCCCTGTCAATAACAACTATTGTGTAACATATCTAGCAGTGTATACCACATGAATCCTACTTCTGATGATAAGATTTATATTATTCTGTTAACATAATCTACAAAAAGTCTGCAGGTGTCTTGTGTGAATTGACATTTGATGGCATTTAGGCAGATATGAATACATGTGACCACCATCCAGAAGCTGAAAATTTTACTTCAGTTTTGATCAGCCTCTTCAATTCCCTATTCAGTTTTGATCATCAGAGATTAAGATGAAAATCCTGAGCTGGAATATAAGGGGGTTAGGTGGAGAAATAAAGAGAAGCTTAGTAAAAGATACTTTCCGAAGAGAGAATCCTGGCATTATTCTAATTCAAGAAACCAAAAAGGAAGAGGTGGACAGAAAGTTAATCAGAGCAATCTGGGGTTTAAGAGGAAGAAAATGGGCTACACTCCCAGCCATAGGCACTTCAGGAGGAATCCTTGTCATGTGGAGAGAAGATGTGGTTTCAGGAGTGAAAGTTGATAGAGGCGAATTCTCTCTTTCGCTGCTTTTCACAAACAAGTCAAATGATTTTACCTTGATCCTAACAGCAGTTTATGGCCCTAATGATCCATCAAATAGGAGTAGATTTTGGGAAGAGCTGGATTCACTGCATGAACATGATGAGATTCCATGGGTTGTGGAAGGAGATTTCAATGTCACGAGATTCAGTCAAGAACATTCGAATAGGAAGAGGGTAAATAGAAGCATGAGGGAGTTCTCAACTTTATATCTAGACACAGGCTGCATGACCTCGCCCTAAGGAACGGTAACTTTACCTGGTCGAACATGCAGGAGAATGCCATAAGTTGTAAGCTTGACTGATTCTTAATTACTTCAGATTGGGAAGCCCATTACCCCCTGACCTTTCAAGAGATCCGCTCCCGATGTACTTCGGACCACCTATCACCTTAAGTACAGATTTGGTGATCAGAGGAAAAACCCCTTTTAGGCTGGAAAAGTTCTGGACGGATCACAAAGATTTCTGCAAAAAGGTTGCCTCATGGTGGGAGGAATGCAAGACAGAAGGTTGGCCAGGGTACAGATTTCTGGAAAAATTAAAATATGTAAAAAGGAAGCTAATGGGATGGGCCAAAGAGGAATTTAAAGCCTTCAAAGAAGAGAAATCAGCAATCCTATCCGAATTGGATGAGTTAGACCAAAAGGAGCAGAGTGGGCACCTAAATGAGAACGAAAGAATGAGAAGATTTGAGCTAAGAAAAGAATGGGAAAAGGTAGTAAGAAGAGAAGAAGTTTACTGGAGACAGTGATCTAGGGTCATATGGTTAAAGGAGGGGGACAATAACTCCAGGTTCTTCCACATTTTTGCATCTGGGAAGCAGAAAAGAAATCTTATAACAAAATTAAAAATCGGACAACGAGAAGTGGAGGACCCTAAGGAAATTTCTGAAGCTTTCTTATACTTCTTTAAAGATCTTTACTCAAAGAAAGAAAACAGAAAACTCTCCATAAGCTTTTGGGAAGGGTTTAAATTTCGGAGGAGAATAGTCAGTGGTTAGAAAGAGAGTTTCAAGATCAAGAAGTGAAGGAAGCTGTCTTTAGCATGGATGGAGATAGAGCCCCGGGCCCTGATGATTTCCCAATTCTATTTTATCAGATTTGTTGGAGCATAATTAGTTCAGATTTGATGCAGGTGTTTAATGATTTCTATCATTCARCCATTGTCAACAAAGGAAACAATTCTAATTTCATATGCTTGATTCCCAAGAGAAAGGGTACTCTAAAAGCAAAAGATTTCAGACCTATCAGCTTGACTGGGAGAGTATACAAAATTTTAGCAAAGGTTCTAGTCGAAAGACTAAAAAAAGTCCAAGGGGAAATCATTTCCCCTAGAAAAAATCAAGTGGGAGCCGGGACAAGAAAAAAAGGATCACTTAGTTAATTGGGAAATTGTGTGCAAAAGTAAAGAAGAGGGGGATTTGGGACTTGGGAGGGTAACTAGAAAAAATCAAGC